AGTGCAGAGCAGTGGAGTACAGTGGTCAGGAGTGAGGGCTCTAGAGCTGAACGGCCTCGGTCTAAAACTCCAGCTCTGCCTGCCCCTTACTAGGTCTTGGGCAAGTTCATTTGATCTCTCAGACCCTGCATCATCACCCGTGTAAAGTAAAGACTGACGATAATATTTATCTCACAGGAGTGCGGTGAGGTTTTATAAGTTAATACAAGTTTCATGCTCAAAACAGTAGCTGCCACACTACACACATGGCCCAAAGTTTAGATATTCTGAAGTGTCCTATTCTCTGACATGACGCAGCAGGTCACACCAAGTCAGGGTGTCGGGGCACCAGTGAAGGAAGGAGATATAAAAGGGCTGCTTCACTCCCACTAGCACGTGGACTCGAATTACATGTCCTGAGAACCAAGTCCTCCAGGCCTGTTCAACTGCCAACAGGACACTTTCCACAAGGTCAGGAGCGGGAAGGCTGACAGTGTCTAATGATCCTTTTAAAGAACTCCTGTCGCCTTCAGCAAACCTCTGAAGCCACTCATTTAAAAGGACATTAGCCACTGACCCCCAGCAGCCCAGCCTCAGGGGCACTTCTGTCCCCCTCACCGCTGCTAACTGCACCCACACTTAGGTCAAGACCATCTCTTCTATTCAGCACTCAGAGCTGCACCCGCGGGGGCCCATGGCCTCCAGGGTCCCAGCCTCCGTGCCAGGGAGAGGCCCCTGCGCTAAAATGGCAACTGTGACACTCTGCAAGTGGGGATAAGGAAGGGAAAGGGCCTTGATCCTCACGTTGTGACGAGAGTCACCACACGTGCAGCCAGCCCAGGCCGATCGCGGAGGGGAGCGGGTCGCCCCCCGCGCAGTCACCCCAAAGCCCGCCTGAGGCTGCTGCTCATTGCCCTCTCCTCCCTCCATCTTCTTCAGCTGCCGGGGGTGTGACAAACAGGCGCTGACACCAAACCAAGAGGTGTGTGCTCTTAATTAATATCTGCAGAAGCTCCAGGCGGAGGTGGTGGGAACGGCTCTGGAATGATGGACTTCACCCAAGCCTTCCTCCCCTCCCGCCCACACCCATCCCAGCATCGGGGGCACTGCGAGCCCTGGGGGTGAAGGCCAGTGAATGGGGGGGTGGCCGCTGGCTGGTTAGAGAGCAGTGGCGAGCTAGGCTGACTAGTACTGGTCCATTTTCTGACGATTTTTACAACCTGCTCTCAAATAAAGGCGTTTACATGGTGTGAGGAGGGTGCAAGGAGTAAACAAGAGGGAGTGCCAGGCACAGCCCAAGACGAGGCTGTAGTCTGCCTCCCAACTGCACCTCCAATGGCCTATTGGGGGCTATGGTAACAGTACATTGTGTGTTTAATAGTACCGTGTGCGGTTTAGTGGCATTGGTGTAAGATTTGAAGGGGGGATGGCCAGAGAAAC